GAGGAAATGTGGGACTAAATTTTGGTACACATTGTAGATTACAGAAATGCAGCCTTGTCCATAAATAATCCACTCAAAAATATAGAAGAATTATAAAATACAAAGATATATGAATATTAAGGACATACAAATATGTTTAGAATATAGAAACAGATCAAACCAAAGGAATAGACACTTATTCCTTTATAATGCTCACAGGTCCATATGTGCATTGAAACAGATTTTAGTTGCTGTAATTGTTCCTTATGTCGCTGTTTTGCACCAACATACGTTATCAAATTCAGCCAAAGCTTATAAGAGGCTTCAGCATTTTGAGGTAGACAAATGAAAGTGGCCAAAATTACAGTCTTTTTAATACTGTACCCTCTACTGCAGCTCATCTTTGAGCATGTCAAACATTGATATGGTGCCTTCTGTCTCTTCAGGGTCAGTATGGACAGTAGGGACACTTACAGGGACTGTGTCAGTGTACATTATGTTTTAAGTTAGTCTTGAAAAAATCCATAAAGTGCATTTCACGGTAAGGTAAAGTGCTGTGTGCGATTAAAAGTGAAGCCAATCATCATAAAAGTAGACTGAATAGCCATTTTCCATGTCCACTGAATTCTAGTATAAACAAAGCACATCTTGCATTATCCAATTTAATGACCTCATGCAATTTCTATCTAAGTTTTCATAATATGCGCTAATCCTGCAGATGTCACTGTGAGCATATGTTCCCTTTGCCGAAAGGGAACAAATCCAACACCATCGTTAGAGGCTTAGAAGGTGTGAAAACTGTACAGTAGATTTCATCAGTGGAATGACAGCCTGTTAAAACTTTGGATGGCTGCTCAAGCAACCAGGATTTCTTTGGCCCCGGCTCACCCTGCTGGAGTCCAGACTTTTAGTCAGACATGACCACGCAGAGACTGAACCAACAACTCTGGAATCCTTCTAAGAGGAAGAGACGGGGGTTGGGTTGAAATGAGTTTTGACTTTCAGGTACTTTTTTTGAGGGAAAAGGTGTCTAGACTGGACATTCTTTTCCCTCCACAGTTCCTCGAGTGTGTCTGGGCTCTGTTGGTCTGGGCAACCTCCCCCCATGCAGTGCCTATACCCTCACTCTGTGGCTAATTAGCTCCATGCTCCCAGGATGGTCAATGCAGGTGTGGGTTTTACGCAGTCATCCCCCCAGGGCGGCAATGAGCGGACTGGATGGTGATCTAGAGCTGTGCATTAATAAGCGATGGAAACTAACCACAGCATTAAGAGATGGAAACCATTAACTGCCTTGTAAGAAGTTTTACGCTCTTTTTCCATCCATACTGTTTGGAGTGTTTTTTGTTGTTTTTTTTTTTTTTTTTTCGTTTGTGTCTAAAAGCCAGGCTAACATTCCACAATATAGCATAGTATTCAATTAGAAGCCTTGTTTTTTCCTTTCTGAACTGAATAGCTCCACTCACAGTCTGTGGTTAAGTCCACACACCAGAACAATTTTCTACTACAGTGCTCGCATTAGAACACTCTGTCCTTCACAACAGGCGTGTATGAAAGCTTTAATACACTCTTGTGTCAAATTCGAACCCAACTCTCGAGTGCTTTAACAATAAGCCGCAGATATTCATGTGAGGATGCCAGACCTCTTCAGAATTGGGACTTTGTGAACGATAAACACTTGAAAATGTAAGTCTTTGTTTCCCTCTTCACAGAGACACATGTCAAAGTCAGACAGAGTAAATTACTTAAAATCAGACAGACAATGTAATCTGCTGAATAGTACTTAGTACAGTCTTTGAGGGTGGAGCTGCAAAGAATCAAGCTTCTCCCCCTGTGTTTCCAGCCATGGGGCAAAGTTACAGTACAGTGTGTGGAGCTATGGATGCCTCAGTGTGTGCTGTAATGTGGTCTAGCCATGCCAGCGTGCTGAGAAAATATGTGACTTTTCATCTCTGAGATGCAGGGAGATGCAAAGCAGCTGCTAGTCTGCCCCGCAGCTTGAGGGAAGAGGAGCGTCTGCATTTGCCAAGTTACAAACCAGCGACTGGAAGAAGTTGTTATTACGGTCCTCTGCCCCGTGTGGATGGAGGGATTTGGGCCTGAAAGGGTTAGAATGAGCACTGAGGTATGACCCGGGTCAGACTTGATGAGTTTCACTTGAGCTTTCTTGAGAAAATGTGATTAGTGAGTAATGAGTGTGGGAGTCTTTTCTGTAGCTGTAGCTCCTATATGTGTCATAAGTTTTACCTTAATTACATTTTATATCATGTTTGTTTCTTTTTAAGATTTTTTCTTTTTGGCTTTTTATCACCTTCATGAGATAATAGCAGGATAACAGGAAAGCAGGGATGACATGCTGCAAAGGGCTGCAGGTTGGAATCAAACCAAGGCCGCTGCAGTAAGGACCCAGCCTTTGTACAATGGGCATACCCTTTACTGGGTGAGCTACCACGGTACCCATCAGGATTGTTTCTCAATATCTCAAAAATGACAGTTTTCAATTAAATTGATAAGTCAGAAGTCTTTTCCAACAACTCCCCCAAACTGAACAATAAAATGCATTGTTTGTCCATGCTTTCTAGAATGATACATAGAATTGGTTTTTTTTTTATTTGATGCCACAAAAACTCTGTTTGTCTTATACAAACTGTTACAAATCACTATTGAAAAATACATGCACTCTATGATGTGACAACTCTATGGTTTGGTTAAGTTTAGACGCAAAAACAACTTGGAAAGGTTTAGGGAAAGATCATGGTTTGGGTTAAAATAAGTACTTTGGAAAGGTTAGGGGATCTTCGTTGTGGTTACTAAAATAAAGACTTGGCTTAGGGAATGATCATGGCCATGCTTTGAGAAAAACAACACCGACTGTTGGTTTGTCACAGGAAACAAACAACTGTCTCCCGTGTTAAACTATTAAACTCCTGTGTTTTGTTGACCCACTGATCAACCCCGACCTTCTCCCTACTCGGACTACTACTACTACTTCCTCCTTCATTCATGGTATAGTTAATGTCATGTTAGGGATGCTGTCGTTCTTTTTGGGAGCACATTCTTGTCCTGTTCAATGTTCTATTTGTCCCAAATTTGCCAGGCAACCAGTGTAGACATCACTACACCCAGCCAGGAAATAGTCCCACACATAACCAACATATAACTACAATCTGTGAGCCTAAGAGGTTGGTGTCTGGTTGGTGGATCTTTTTTTTTTTTAACCATCACACAGAGCAAGCGATGCAAATCCCTGTACACAGGCAGATTTAAGGTTTATCATAATGTCCTATTATTAAAATAACACATTTATACTAATGTGCAGCGTTTTTGGAGGTATTTCCACTTTTAGGACGCTGTCATTAGTGGCTCCACTTTAGGAATTTGTTATCTTGTTATGTGGTTTAAGTCCAGTCTAGCTCACACAACAAGATAATAAGCCACAAGCTACTTACTCTAAATAACAAAACCTTAGTCAATGTGATATAATCCAAAAGAAAGAATGGAGGGGAAAAAAGAAAGCGCATTTAAGAGCTCTCTATCAATTCAATCAGTATTTTTTTATCCTGCCAGCTGAGACTTTTCATTACCTTGCTCAGCGGAGTGTGTAATACCTAGCCAATCAGGGATTGTGTATTATTGCCTGCAGTAAATGAAAGCCTTGACGTGCGTTTGCCAAAGCAAATTTGAGAACATCCCTTCAAAGATATTCACGGTCATGTTATTATTGATGAAATCACTGAGAGGGCTGAGAGCACACTTGAGACTCTGAGGTGTTTGTAATGCTGCCTTTATCCACACAAGAACAATCAAAGAGGACGGCGGTGCACCCATGCACCCCTTGCACCGGCACCATGCCTCCTCTCCTGAACAGCTCTCTCATCTGCAGAGGGAAGCTTTTCACATGAAGTTCATTACATCCCCTCTCGCTGCTCACCTCTCAAAGCCACTCTTTGTCCGCGGTAATCTCGGGATCCTTCAGAACCGCTAGCTTGAGTTTCACATTGGGGAGTATCTCAATGAGTCTGGAAAGGATTTCAAAGGCGAGGGGCCGCTATATCATCCAAGCATGGTCTTCATGTCCTGGGCTTATCTTGACCCGGAGTCAAGTTGGCCACATGCTGCAACTGAATAGCCCCTCTCCATATCCAAACGTTGTTTTAACCAATTTGTCTCTGTTGGTAGAGTTAAGAGAAATTTACAAAACAGACACTGTGCTCTATAAAAGCATGTTTGTGTTACTGTGGATATATCTAATATATCTCCCAGACGCCTGACAAAGACGGATAATGTAGCCCATAAACTGAGATGATGTAGAAAGGAAACAAATTAAGAAACTATAAAAGGAGCATTTCAATCTGGACCACTTGGTTTCCATTTACAATAATCCAGGATAGGCTGTGGTGTGATAAAATCCTAACAACTTCCGTACTCCCAAAGATAAGCCTGCTATGCACTTACAAGATGGGAAGTGATCTGGGATATCAGCCTTTCAAAGCAGGCCAGCAAAGCCAAGTGAGCTTCACTGATGTGCCGGCTGGTGGCTTTTAATCCCCACACAGCCTTCCATTCTTGAGAGTGACCATATTTTTTTTTTAATTAAGACCTTACCTGTCCACATCAAAAGGCAACTCAGATTAGTCTTTTGATCTTCCTAAGCTCTTTATTACTGTATATGGAATATGTTAAGATTTCAGCCCAACAATGAATCATCTGTCTTGTGTAAACGTATGCTGCCCGATGCTCATAACCTGCTCTGCTCTTCTGAGGCTGGCATTGACACAAGACAAAGAGGCCGTCCGGATATACGAGTGGAGTCTTAGCGGTGCGTATCTAGAGCAAAAGATGATGCCGAGATAAGGAGGAAAAAGACAGGAAGCCGAGGAGGGAAGAGACAATTATTTGGCTCCCTTGCACAACGTTGTTTTATTGAAAATCCTCCCATACTTTTAAATCCAAATCCTTGACACGGTTTTATTTTTCTCCTCAATACACAAAGAAATGATACCAAAAGCAGACACAGGCTGTTAAATCTATCTGAATTATTTATTTTACCCCCCCAAACAAAAAGAAAGTAAGTGGCACATACAGTGAATAAAGGGTAATGCATTGCTTCTATAATGGGTGCCTCTTAAAATGAACATTAAATTAGGTGCATAGCTAAGACGTTAGGGTGTTATTACAACCTGCACATGTATGTTCTTATGTTATCAAATTACACAAAGATTGGTTCATAATGGTTGCTCTTTTAATTATCAATCATCACAATATTTTACCTCAATTAGTCTGAATCAATTACATACAGTGCAAATGCTTTCACAAATTGACAGTAAGAAAAAAATACTTACAAGAGGCATCTGGAGGAAGGATTTTTTTTTTCCTGGCTTATCTTTGTTGTTTAAAGGCAGGAATCGTGGTTTTTAAAAGCACACTTTGAGCTACAAATTACTTTACAGCTAAACACATTGGCAAATTAAAGAACAAAATAGACAAACAAAAGTGTTAAGACTGTTAAAGAAATACTGTACAGTAAGAGTTATTCCATAAATGTAGGCACTCTTAATAACTGGCATAAAAAGCCTTCCGTTGATGCCACTAAGATGCAGTTATTAAATGGTATATTTTTCCTTCACCAATTGATACCAAGAGTTTTTAACCCCAGTTACAGCAAGTATTTGAGGGCCTGGCTGTTTCCAAAAATACATTTTTACAGATGTATAATTTGATCCCTGCTGATGGACTGGCGATGTCGAAGACATTGTAATCGTTTACTGGCAGGGGTCGTGAAGTCTGTGAGAGCTGAGCTGATTAAAGGGGAACCAATTTTACACATCAAAGTCTGTTTACAGGTCTTTGGGAGTACTCAAAGACCTGAGAATGTATAAAGCCTTTTTGTGGCTGTATGAAGTCTGATAAATGTCCTCAAGATATGTCAGTTGAGTCAGCTTGGAGTTGAAGACTTGAAGTTGAAAAATCTGGTGGGTGCGGAGTTTAAAAGAAGTGAGCGCACCAGACCTCCATAGCCTTCTCCTCATCTTCTCCGGCAGGTTTTTTGTGAGGAAGAAAAACGCGTAGAATATAAAAAAGTAATATCTCTGGTTCTTCACATGACATTGAGGAAGTGAAGTTACAATTTCATGGGACTTTAAAGGAGTCTCAGAGTATACATTTAGCAATTTTTAAGCAACATTGCTCCAATGTTTACAAATACAAAAGACACATTTACAGTTTTGAAGTAAAATCAAATAAGCATAAAAAAAATCCTGACATGCTGTACTGCTAGTACCTGTATCGCACATGTAAATGAATGTAAAAAAACAAAACAGGTACAACAGATTACTGGTGTTATGCTGTCGATAAAGAAACTATGGCCAACACCATATTTAAAATCATATCAAAAACATTGACTCTGATCAGCTTTAAAAAACCTTAAGGACACATTAACATTTAAATAACAACAGCTTTCATATGTACAAAGGGAACCCTATCAAAAACTGAAAAACCTCATGTCAAAGTGCACAGTCACTGATGACAGCTGTGCTGGGCAGAAAAGGACAGGGCTCAAGAAAAATATCAGGTCACGAAAGAGCAAACAGTTGTGACATATAACCAAAATTGTTGGCTGACACAGTGGAATTTGCTCCTCTCCTCCATAACAACACTTAACTCTCGTCTTGTTCTAACAGAAGGTTGTCTCATCTTCAAAAGTGAGAACACATAAGGACATTTTTTTTTAGCCTTGATTTGAAAAAAGTAACAAATATTAGTACACTGAAATTCTACCATTGATTTAAAAGAAAAAAGGCAAAGGCACAAATATCAACTTCTAATATAGGAGCAACATTCTGCTAAGACTCATAGAAACAACATCAAAATGTTAACATCGCCAGTGAGTTTGAAAAACAAAAAAAGAGCAGTAACACAAACAATAAATGAAGAGAAGATATGCATAATAATACAGGGGTAAATATAGAAGGCATAACAATGTTAATGTAAATGTCTTTTATTCTGAAAAGCACAGTACTGTCTTGCTGCGTTCACAGTGATTCTCTCTCAGATGAACTCCCCTCGGAAAGGAAGTGACTGAATGTTTTGCTGTTTCCAGCGGCAGCGCAGCCTGGCCAACGGCGTGTCCCTCAGGTTTTCAAACTCGGAGAAGCCCAGCTGGTTGAGGATGTCATAAACTCCGGCTCTGGCAGCCACCTACCACAGAAACACACAAAATGTTAATGAACAGGCAACACAGCCACCCAGGCTTTTTTTTTTTTTTTAATATGTCCATCATGACCACACAAACGCTTTGACTGTCACTTTTTCAGCATGTTATCTGACAGTCCCCGGCATGCAGCTGTTCCATTGGAACAATAGCTATCTACTTTGGGTTTGGAGACAACAGGTTTAGTTAAGTTCACAGAGACTAGTATCTAGCCTCTGAAAACATTTTCTGTGGCTTTGGAGGGCGCTCTCAATGAAAAACCCTGATGATGTCACTGTGACGTCATTAGGGTTATCTCATGCTTGGTGAAACTGATAACAGAAAGCTTTTATTAGGAACTGGGTGATGTGGACTTTGAAAGACAGGGACATTTACCAGCCAGGGAGACTCTAATGAAAGACACTATCTAGTTGCATCATGGGAAATGTAGGATCTAGTGTTTTGGGGGGGTTAACCAATACTTAAAGTCAGTCGTTTTGATCAACTACAGGTGTCCCCCCAGAAAGATTGGTTTAATATAACTCAATAATATTTATATTTATTTATTTATTCATAGGCTGGACGTGAGCGCTTTGTGTGTAAAATCTTAATCCACCAACTAGTTACTAGAGCTGAAAATGAAGTGAAGGAAAAAAAAGGGAAAATAACAATAATAAAAATAAGCTGAATAAAAAAATACATCATCCCACACCAGGAGGCTCATATAAATATTCTTAAATCTTTCATTTTTATTATTTAATAAATGCAAATAACAAATACATAGACCTGATGAAGAAACATGTTGTTCCCACAACACAATAATGAACTGTTGAAGAGGCAGCAAAACAGGATGTTCACTAACTGCAGGGACGGCGAAGGCGGTTTGAACCTGCCCACGTGTCCTTGAATTGAGGAGTATCTATAAGAGCCTTCTCTTGCGCAATGATACACTTTTGATTTTGTTGTGGAAATGTAGTAGACCCTAACCCTATAAGTGCAAATTAAAACTAACTCGGAAACCGACGACCTCACTATTGTACTTAAGTACAGTAATGGGACAGCACCATGGAAACGGTATATGTTATTCAGTCTGAGTCATTACTGAATGAATGAGGACAGGGAGAAACAGAAACATGGCAAGATTCCCCAGGAGACAGAGAGAGAGAGAGAGGAAGAGAGAGGAAGAATTGAGTGTTCGTGTTAAACAACAGGTCACACTGACTCATGATCTGCTATGGCTGTCAAACACCGAAGGACTGATGGGAAGCACCATGGACAACCAGAAACATCTGGCCATTAAACCAAACAACACAAACAAATACAAACAAACCCAGCAGACGACGACTTCCCTGCAAAAACGTTAAAGATTGAATAGCTCATTACAAGTGCCACAGCTTGCCCAGTTTACTCTGCAGGAGAAGCCTCAGGAAACTGTGCGAGGCTGATCTGCAGCCACTACATTTGATGAAAGAGCATATGACGGACTAAAAAAAGTCAGATGTACTTAATTCTATCGATCAGCGTATCGATTTTCACATCACAACCCATTTAAAGGATTTCGGCTCATCTCTTGCAGCTTACAATCAGCTTGGAATCGATACAGGACACCAGCTGTTTGAAGATTGTGAGACCCTATAGGACTCAGTGGAGGTAACATGGCCTAAGACGCTTTAACCTCTACAACTCATCCTCAGCCAGTCAAAAGGTCTGCAAATTTGGAGTGGAAAGGAATGAGCAAGAGGAGATAGGTTTAAACATCCGGGTAATCATTTGTGGATGCAAAAAAATGGAAGATATGACTGCGGTTGTGTTCTTGAGAGTGTGAGGTAATACTGTATGAAGTGCTGCTCGGGATACTTTTAAAAATGCACTGTCAGGTTGAACGCTGAGGACGACATAATGGAACCATGAACAGGAATAATAGTATCAAGATATCCCTTTCACTAACAATGATTATAGCTTAGCTGGCCAGCTTTGTACAGAAATAAACACAAGGCACCACAAAGTGTGGTCTAGATTACCTACTTGCTGACCAAGCAAAATCAAATCTTACAATAGATATCATGTATCACTTAAACTTTTACTTTGTAGAGTTGACACTGATTCAAACTCAAAAACCTTTCCACAGTCCTGTCAGATGTTTCACTATAAAGAAAGGATCATGCCGTATTTTATAGCAAATATGTGCACTATTGGACCTTTAAGAACATTCATGTTTGTGTCTGATGTGTTCCTGGATGGCTGCCAGGCTGACTGCTGTATGAGCTCCTTGGTGGGAAAAATGAGTGGGTGCAGAGGAACCATTAGTCAGTGGATGGGACTCCCAGGAGAAGCAGTGGATTTGAGCTGTTAACCGGGATACTTAACCTGACTCATCTACTCCACAGACCAGCTGTCTAAATAGGCTACAAGTGAGTGAAAAGTTGTTAAAGAGGCCCATCTGCTCATGCTGAAATCAAGGGTTTCAAGACATCCCAAAAGAGGATGTTGGGGGGGGCCTGAGATGGAGAGGTTCAAGAGTGACTGCATGCAATCTCTGTGGGTCAGAGCTGAGGATGCCAGCTGAAGTCAGACTGAACCCATAACATGGATTTGAAAGTCCACTTCCTCGTAATCCGTCCATTCTCAGTATATTCCAAGCATAGATTCTCTACCACTAAGGTAAATACACCACTTCTATGACGAATCACCACCAAAAGAAGTCTACTTAGTGATTTTCTGGCAAAACGATGATTCTTTGTAACATACTGACCACCTGGATCAACAGTGAAGACGATTACGCTGTAGAAAAGTTTGTATGGATCTTTTGATATGTATGACAAGATTGCTTTTCAGAGGAGTATTCCTCTAAACCTCATTGTTTTAAACAGACACGTCCACCAAACACATGTACTTGAAGGTTTTTCTTTGCAAAAGAGGCAGTCAAGTGTGGGATGATTAGCTTCTCTTCTCCATAAAAAAAAAGACTAAGAGTCTACAGCCATGGTAGCGGCTCTTTGAGGTGGTGCTTAGAACTAAATGCTAATATCAGCACGCTAACATGCTCACAATGACAATGGTAACATGGTGTTAACCAGGTGCAACGTTTACTAGGTTCACCATCTAAGTTTAGCAAGCTAACATTTGCTAATTAGCACCAAATACCAGAGTCAAATGATGTGGACTCGAGCCACAAATTTTTAGGACTTTAGACTCGACTTGGCAAAATCAACCTTTAGACTAAACACTTGATACCTTCCCCCAAGCTCAAACAATGAAAAAGAATCTTATTTAAAAAGTGTGCTACAAATTAACTAATTTCTCTTTATTTCCTTAAACATGCAATGTTCCCTCTGACTCGCATAGACTTTCCTGTCTTGACTTGGGAGTTGAGTGCAAAGACTTAATACCTCGCAAAACAATGGGTTAATCCAACCTCTGTCAAATACAGCAGTCATAAACTAAAACTGGAAAAAGTGTAATGTTGACCTGAAGAAGTGGTGGATGAGGGGAATATAACAGTCTGTGTAAAATTTCAAAGCAATATTTGTGATATATTTCAGTCTGAAGTGGTGGACCGACCAACACTGACTATCTCTAGAATCAGCACGGTTAAAAAAACGTAAACCAGGCAGCTTTGACTCCACTGCCTGATTTTAGTTTTTATGGTTTAATCTCAGGCTGCTTTTCATCTTTAACATAAAACGTAATATAAAAAATAAATTAAGTTCAGCTTCACCTTTATACATGTATTAATTAAAATGAAAATTGAAAATGCAACACCTTTGGCAAGTTCTCATGGCTCCCAAGAGTGCAGCAGTGGTGGAAATGATGAGCAGCACATATTTACATCTGCACATGAACACAAAGTGAAAGACAAATCAAAGCAGATCTGATCTTCAAGGGTAACTCGCTGAATCTTGCCCCCTTGGTTGCATTCTGTTGTAAAAATGCCCTTGAAGTTGTTGGTGCGTGGTGACAAGCTTTGTCAGTGACAGTAAGCAGAGCTGTCAGAGAGATGTCTTTCATGCTGCATTCAAGAGATCACAAACGCCAATACTCATTACGCGACTGGAGCGACTGGGGAGGAACAGGGCAGCGAGGAGGCGCTGGTCTTTCCCACAGTCGGCAATCTCAAAGGCTGCACATACCGGGCTTGTGCAGGGGGGACAGGGAGGCCTCTGTGCCACACATCAAAACAGCTGGAGTGACTGATAGGGTACCTCTCCTGCAGGCATCCATGGTATGCACTGTACACAAGTCCTGCCATTGTGTAACGGGCCATGTTTTGGATTAGCAAACATGGATTTTAATTCCAATAACTCCTCTGATGTTTCTGCTCTGATCTCACAACATGGCCACGAGACAACATGGGCTAATGACGCTAAGGACAATATTTGTTCAAAGTGCACACAATGTAGCAGTAAGCAGCATTTACTTCAAACACTTTTTGTATATACAGTATATAATGTATAAAAATTGTTTGATCTGTTTGTTATGTATTGCTGCCTGCTGCATCATTATGTGGCAATTAGCATCTTTCTTCCTGCAGTGAAACTAGACAAAATACATGCTTCTGTCTTCAAACAATCAGACTGAACAGAAGCAGCACAACCAAATAGGTCAGAGTCTCCATATCAGCTGGCACATACTGCTACCCTGCATGACTGGAAACACTGTGCTTCTGCTTTTAGCTGCTGTAGAGATTAAATTAGTCCATGCACACACACATGCATACACCCGGTGCAGAATGCAGGACAGACTGTACTGCTCAAATCTAGCAGGTTGTGTAACCATGGCTTCACATGCATTACAGGGATGGTGATGACCCCTGACTGCTGCCTCCAGCATCACAGTTTGTCATTAATGATCCTGCCACGGTCACTGGTGATAGGCTAACGATTGTGCCTCTGGGTTGGTTGGGTCGGATTGGTTGGGCTAGCTGCCAGATTCTGCTGCAACTGGGCCAGTAAATGCATCACAATACTGATGGTGGTGGGGGCAAAATGTATCACATATGTCACAAGAC